TATTGTATTAATGCTAACCCATCGGTACAAAATATCGCCTATTACCAGCGTGGTCATTGGTTCAACAAATTATTCTGTTGGTCCGTTTTAATTTTGTTGGAGTGAAAGATTGACAGGATGTACGTTGAATTAACTTCTAAATAAACGATGAAAGTACTTTCAAATTAAACTACATCTGATATCATCCATTGTAATGTACATTTGTGTTTTCTCCTGCTTAAATCTCAATACACACAACCGTTAATTACATCTGAAATTATCCATTGTAATGTATAATTTTGTCTTTTCTCCTGCTTAAATTCCAACACTGACACAACCGTAAATTACATCTAAAACACTGCAATACAATGTTTTGCCATCTTTAAAAAAAACCAAAAAACAACAAACAAATAAAAAAAACAAACAAACAAATATAACAAACAAAAATAATACATACAGATTCCACTTTTACGAACCATCACTTTGGTCATTTTACTTTGTTGCACTTTAGCCATTGCTGATTCGAGGCTGTAAAACGTAGCTTTAATTTCCAATACTAATTTTTATTCTATGTTTTCTTTGCTTTATCTATTTAGGCGCTTTGCATCACTGACGAGTCTTAGAAGGACGAAACAGCTGTTTAATGCATTGCAGTTTAGTTCATCGTTTGGCTCTACTGTATCTTATCCAAATTTGTATTAAAATGTGCCGTTCATTTGTGTGCCGTTTGTACAATTTTCAACATGTCGCTGGTTTTTGCGCTTATAAATCTGTTGTTTTTTTGTGTTTTTTTGCTTTGTTTTAAACATATTTTATTATTTATAACACAAAGGCTTGAACGCGAGTATTATCAACTCATAAAGTCCTCTTATAAATGACTACAAACAGGAATATTTTGTACTGAAATCACGTGAAAACAACAAAATATTACAAATATAGATAATAGGAAAAGAGACTAGGAAGAGGGTGTTAGGGATAAAGAGGTGAGATAGTGACAGAAAATGATAGAATGTAGAACATAGATAAGTTGTACATATATATATATATAAATACAAATGGCTGTCCAACACATTATCTCTATTCCACCCCCTCTACGTATCAAAGTATATATCCATTCATAACATTCCAGGATTTGTTCAGTTCATCCTTAATATTTCCAAACCGATATTTCCATCACAGTATTGAACAACCAACATAACATAATACATGTAGTTTACTTTATATACTCATATTTTTAACATGTAAAAATACGGAAGATATTGATATTTTGGATTTTTGGAAGCCTGCTAGACTTCTGTGTTATAAATATATAAAATATATGATAACTAAAGTTTCACTTAATCAGTTCGCTGAGTATTTTTATCATACTTTTATACAGACTGACATATAGGTATATTTGCATCTTCATTAATACTTCGGTCACCAGAAAGTAATTGTTTGGATGAAATACTACGATATCAGCGTTTAACATGACTTTTCTCTGATTAGTAAAGAGAGGACAGAAAAAAATACTTCCAAATCTTCATATTCACTACTACACTGTTAATATGGTGTAAATACAAGATGAGATGAGTGAAGGTCAAATTTTAATATACTCGCTATATTTCTAAGCCGGCAGTGTAAAATATTGAATTTTCTCGAACCACAGCGTCATAGCAGGATTACGTTTATTTGTATAAAATCATTTTAAAGACTTTTGTAGTGACGATTGGTAGTCCAGTGACAATACGGGTTGCCTCATATTGAAAATTTTCTAGTTTGGTTTCATTTAAAATACTGTAATTGTTCCAGACTTTACACGCATGCGCTCTAGTAAAGGAGTATGTAAATCCTATATTTTTTTTCTGTTAAGTATATATTGGTGTTTTCTATCGATTTATTTATATGAATATTCTACTTTGCATCACTGCTGATATAACACCAAGATATTTGTGATGATCTAAACTAGGTATTACAGTATTATCAAAATAAAAATGCTGATTTGCATGAAAATTTAATATAATCATTGGTTCGGTTTTGTTAGGATTAAACTTCATGAGTCACTTTTTACACCAAATATGTAGCTATTCCAGCCCATCATTAATAACACGGTTGATATCAAGAATATTTTCTGATGAATGTCCTAATGTGGTATCATCGGCAAACTGTCTCGTAATAGAAAGAACAGTTTCAGAAATGTCATTTATTTACGAAAGAAAAAGGAACGACCAAAAGGACAGAGCCCTAGAGGATATCAGCTTTTCAATTCTGCTTTAGACGAAAGGGTATTGTTCAGAGTACCAGATTGTTTTCTGTGTTATAAGTAGTTTCCACGTGGATTTGGACATTGCCTTGAATACTATATCTATCAGGTTTTAATAACAAATCTCCGTGCCAAACAGGATCAAACGCTTTGGAAAAATTACAAATATTAGAATAAGGATGTTTTCAAAGTAAATGGTCCTCTGCTATTATCGTTCCTGTATATAAAAATATGTCCTTGCTGTTCAAAACAATTTACAGGCATTAGCCGGATAAGTTTGTCAACTTTTTACTTCTGTACTTAATAAACAGCTCTTAGACGTATATACGAAACACGATATTCTAACCGACACTGTTTGGTTTCCGTCCTGGTGTTAGTACTGTGGATGTGTTTTTTTCCATTGCAATCTATTATTTCAAAAACTCCATCAGAAAAAGTGAGGTAATAATGTTCGTTTTGTCGATTTCCAAAAGGCCTCCGGTTTTGTTGATAGGACTAGTCTGTTGTACAAGTTGTCAAAACTGGACATTAGAGGTAAACTTTTAATAAAAGTTAAATTACTTTATTCATTAGCAAAGTCGTATGTCCTATTTAATAGGAAAGGCTCTGATTATTTACTTATCATGTCGGTTTGGTACAAGGGAAACTTTTATCCGTGTTACTTTTTCCGTTATTTAGTGAATAATTTTGAAACGAGTTTCATTGAAAACCGCGCCACCGAATTCGACATTGAAGAATTTAGTTATAAACCATCTGCCTTCATTTGATTCAAATGATTAGGTTAAGAAAGTACATTATAGAGCCGGGTTTATAAACAGATCACAGCGTAGTTTTGGAAAAAAAACTTGTCCATATTAAGTTCGGGTATTTCGAAAAGTTTCGGCCAGTTGGTAATGTCAATAGAATAGAAGTTCCTATAACACATCCGATAGAAAATTTGGATGTGACGTTTTGATGACTTCACGGTCACCTTCATCACTGGTCATAAATGGTCATTCATTCTATCGGTATTACCAACCTGAAGAAAATGTGATGTGACGTGAATATAATGACTTTTAAAATGTATATCAAAGGTTATAACTAAAAGTAACCATTCAAAATTATAAAGAGACTTTAGATAACTAAGGTGTTGTACTAAGTGTGCAATTTTAGTGCAAAGTGGCAATTGTACACCATAGAATATAACAGCCCCCGATTGCTGAAAAAAAATAATAAAAAGGGGAGATGCTTTCCCCTTACTGATTCATTGATGATGCACAGAATGCCTCTTTGATATAAATTTCATATTAAAAAAAAAAAAAAAAAAACAAGAGAAAGTACAGGCCATGTGAGTCTTTTCTGTTTACAATCCAACGTGTTACATAATATCATTTTCAATTAAAGGCACATAAATATAATGAATGGAATTGAAATTAACATATATTTGGATAAAAAATAACACTCTGAAATAAGTGTGGTTTCCTGATTCTGTTATTACAAGAAAATCTACCCCTGAAACAAGTTTACAGGTCCCAGAATTTGATAAATTTTCAATATCTAAGTACATATATATGGCCTTAGGTGAAAAGAAAACTGTAAGTTTGTCAAGCAGTTTTTTTAAAAAAAACTTGAATTTGTGGAAATTTTCATGAAGAATTATGATTTTTTCCCAGTTAAACTTCCAAAACTTTTCATATTTGTGATTCTTTATATTTGAGTTCAAAACATGCAGCAGACTTGTGAAATGTTTGACCCAATTTAATGACTTATTATAGGTTTTGAGCAAGTTTTGGGATAAGATGAGCACCTTGGCTCATACCAATGACAAGGTTCAGAAAAAAGGCCATTGTACAGGGCATAGGTGACTTTTGGATTGTTGAATCATACATTCTTAGTAGTTTACAAATAGCACACAATAAAGATTAAGTTGGGATGTGGGCAAAATAACATGTACCGTGAAACAGGTCCTTTTATCTCCGCCTTTCGTTTCGTTTTTTACACACTTATTTATAATCTCCACCAATCACAAAAATCTACGACATGACCAAGCAAGGTAGGCATCACTCGGCACACGGTGTATTGTACAGGTAGGACGACGTTGTAGCTTGAATAAACCGAACCGTGCTGAAACTTTCCGAGCTTATATGGGTGTAATAATGTTCTGGCTATGATAAGATCTTTAACTTAGCCTAATTATCACTACGGTTCTGAATTTAGTTCCTGATACGGTGTAAGGTAGAACGTCACATATTTAGATTGAGGGTTGGTTTAAGAAACTATAGAAACCCTTTATTACTGATTACATTATATTCACTGACGTCTAGAACTGCTTTCAGTTGGCAATCATGGGCGTATGATTGTCGACAATAGAATCACTTCAATGAAGCGCATCATGTTGTATTTTCTCTTGTCTAATTAGCATTTAAATGCCATGTTATCTAACTTTAAAGCGATTCAGTTTTAATTTCAGTTTTCATTTTGTTATAAGAGAGGATAAGACAGGAAATCTCTAATTGGTTTACTTTACTTTAAAATGTTCCAACGCTGTAGGCAGTTTCATGATGAGATGGTTATTATTATGTACGTGTAATATATATCATGGTAGATATCTCTATTCGTGCTTCATGCCGAAGACCTCCTTTACGAAACATGTCTAACACTACACACGTGAGTGCATGAATAAGTAAAAAAAATAAAAGCTTTAAGGAACAACAATTGAACATGATTAATTACTGTAGTCCGGATAATTTGTCCGGACCATACTATATTTTAGTTTTTATTTGTGATACTATTTCCGGTTTCGTATTGTTGACGGGTTAATTGGGAATAGAACGTGCAGTGCGTGCTTTTGGCTTCCAAAGCACACTTTCACTCCGCCTGCACTTGTATTAAACAACTAAATGAGTGAGTATGGTACGGCAAATGAATACGACCCATTTAATACAGCTATTTTGTTGTCATCACTGTCATAGTTGTATTTTCTGAGTGAAGTACAATGAAAACAATGTAGTACTCATTTTATACTAAAAACACAGCTAGTTATGGACTCGATTTCATAAGTACTAAACAAATAAACAACACATTAGTCCACAAGTACCTGTGCTTGGAACATCTGATCTTGTCACTTAATATAGTTTAAACATCAACTTGACGAATGCATGCTTTTTCTCCACCCTAAACAAAGGCATGTTTCTTTTATCCTATTTCGGAGATTGCCTGAATCAACTACGACAAAAGAGGTCTCTGACGTCAGTCAGTCAGTCAAAAAATGGTACAATACACAAACTGGCCAGAATACGCAAATTGGGGTATGTTAAGTTAATAATGGATGCAGGCGCAGGAATAGGTATGGATTTGGTACTGAAAATAGCCGAAATACGCAAAACTTTAATATGCTAATACATACAGTTTTTCCTGCTTATATGGTCTGTTACTGTTGCAGCAACCTTACATCAAGTTTATTGGAAGGACTAGAACTTTCAGTAAGCATCTCTCTATTAAGAATTATTTATGCATTACCTTTACATATGAATTAATGCGTCTTATAATGATATTTTGAAGAAGTTACTGTTTATACGATTTTGGCTATTTTTAGTAACAAATCTGTTTTATATGCAAATTTTTGCTTTTCCCCGACTTGTTTATATCTTGTGCCAACTGAGACATGGTGTCTGTCATAAATTTCTATGTCAACTTCTAACACTGTTAGAGTAGACTCAAATCCATGAAATAGTCCTGCATTTGAGGGAAAGATACTTACACGAGTAATCAATTAGCTACCCAAATGCAGGATCATTTGAGATAGAAACACTTGTAGTCCTATTACGTACTGACAACCAAAAAGGATGTCATCTGTTTCAACATATATATCGTGCCCAACCTGATTAAGAGTTCACTCTTTGATGAGCGTTATACTCCGCTACATTGGCAGGTCATGCTTAAAACCTATTGTACAGTGTAATTACAATTTGAAAGATACAAATGGGTAGTACCTTACTATCTTCTAAACCAGTATAAGGCTGCGGGAAGACCAACTAATTGGTCGTGGAATCCCTCCAGGGTGCCTGCACTTTGCATGTTTTTGCAAGAAGCCTTTTCTAATCCCTGATGGTCTTTGGCGAATATGATGTGCTTTAGATATTTTGAGCTCAACATGATGTTGGAATGGAGAGAGTATACAAATGTATACATGTTTTATCATTGAGTCCAGGTGTCACTTCGCTTCTAAATTGTGTATTTGGGTCCTCCTTGATACTCCAAGGGTTAGATCACTTTCGCTCCAGGAGCATCCATGAAACATGTCGTGGCAAAATGACACCATGTGGGCAAGACAAAAAGTCTATAGTGTGATCCATTGATGTACATCAAAAGAATCTTGACTGCATAACTGTATGTTGTAATGGCTTTGAAGTTGAGTGTCACTCCTTTGTAGTCTTCAAAAGGAGCATACCAGCTTGTGTTGGGTCAATTTTCCTTCCTGGAACTCATCAAATTACTTGTGCCTTCAATTTTGCCATTTCATGTTCCAAGAGTAGAGAGCGAAAGTGATTGTAACACCTGGAGTATCGAGGATGGTATGTGGTAGTCTCTTGATTGTTTAGCTGTTGTCTAGTAGCCCATCGTGTTGGGTAGGAAGAATCCCAGGAACATGGGTATTATCTCTGACCTTATTATAAGGACCAATCATAAAAACAGGAAACAGGTCCTTTATTCACTCATTTACTTATTATTCTTATTCACTATTTACTTTCGCAAGATTTTTTTTTCTAAATTTAGACATATTTGCAATTAGGGCATAACTTTATTTCTGTCACAAATTTCATGTAACTAATGGATCATCATTCTTTTGAAAGGACACTACCTACGAGTTCTTTAGTTATAAGTCCAACAATTGCTCAATCAGTCGGGGTTGGTCTATTTAACCTCAGCCTAAGACCTGGGGACAGAGGTTTGTGTTTTGATGTTCCCAATCCATGGTGGATTGTGTTCTTCTTGTGTTCCTTCTAAGAAATGGACCAGTCTGTACTGCAGTGATGGTGTCATTTGACATAGCACTTGACCCTTATTTCTCAGGATGGCTTGTGATTGGCCTCCCATATGTTGTTCAGTGAGGTAGTGTCATTTACTTTAAGGAGCCCTACCTCAAATGACCCTGGGTGTTCACAGGGCAATAAACCCCAAGAAGAAACAAATTTCCCTGGATCAAACATAGATGTTGTCAATTGAAATTGTAAGAATAAATGAATTTGTTTCAAGTTTTTAGGCATCAACCTTATGAAAGATAATGTTTGATAGATTGCGGGATGGGTAGGGGACATAGTTTGTTCATTGTAAATACTAAGTATGCTTGCTTTTATTTGAAATAGGTAAGCTGTTTCAGAAGTGATCAGTCTCCAATTGCAGTGACAGCCAGATACAGGTTGTAAAGTATGGCGTGGGGTGGTGACTACTCGGCATTACAATGTAGGTATTTATTGATACACTATGTGTGGTCTGTTGCGACATTTTTTTCAGAAAAAATGATAGAGGATATGATACTGTATGTGTAAAAATATGAGTTTTGACATTTCATGTCTGGTTTTAGATGTTTATTTTCAATTTATAAAGGTACAATAGCCCTACAACATGAAAAAGGGCGGGGGGCTGTGATAGCCCAGTCAGTAGAGTTTTGCCCTGGTGAAAATCCTTGATATATACCAGATGGTACGATGCTTTCTACCCATGAGGATTGAATCATTATTTCTCAGGGAGCTCAGACAAGGTGGCTTGTGCTGGCATGGCTGTGTCATTGGGCAAGACACCTTACTTTAATTGTTCTGGGTAGCGATGCTATGGGACTCCTGTATGTTTTTCAGTTAAGTAGAACCACCTACTGAAGGGAGATTGTCCCTGCCTCAAAAATCACCCTGCCTGTACATGTGGTAATAAACCAAGTAGACAAACATATTTAGATGAAATAATGTTTGGGAGCATTAGTCCTGTCGCTACACTGTTTACTCTGTGTCTTCATATGACCTTGACTGTTACAAGGGCATTACATTTTAAAACAAAACCAAAAAACATATCCTTGTAAATATCTTATTTCATATGTAAGTTCTCCCCTGGGCCTCTAATTGTGCTCTTTTGATTTTGGAACTGATCATAAAAGCCATATTGAAATTGTCACCAGGCGACCATCTTGGATTAGACAAAGATTATTAAATCACTATTTCCCAAGAGGAATTTTCAAATTTCATTTTAATGAGACCTTATTTATAGAAGAAAGCAGAAAAAAGGGAAAAGATCCATCTTTTAAAGAACAACAGATGAAACAATGGTAGGGGCCAAGATCCCTCTTGGTTCTCTTGTTATCAATGATTGGTTAGACAGGGTAAGATATACTGAGACATATATACCGTGTACTAACTTTACCCCAAAAGCCTTATCATATAAAGTACTTGTAGAGGAAGTCAATGATCATTTTAATTGTGGTGTTAGCTGTTAAGTCCTTAGTCCTGGATGCTATGCAACACATTTTGTTCTAAAAGTATGAAGCAAAGATGTGGTTTTCTTATGTGATTATGAAAAACTATTTATCATTTCTATATATAGAAGCATTTTTTTCTCATTTTTATGGCAGTTGCTATTGTTGAGGATAATGATACGCATGGCAAGTTCAAGATAGACAGAGAAGATTTAGGGGATTTTAGAAAGCTGGAATTCAATATCACTTTTGATCAGGGACAAAGGTGAGTTTGCTATTTGTTCAGTCTTGTTGTCAGGGATATGATATATACTACACCCACCAAACAAATTCCATGTATCATATATTAATTACATTATGTAAACCGTATCCTGTTGAAAGTGTTTTAACCCCCACCCCTGTCCTGTATTTCACTGTAGTATCGTGTGTTTTTTATTCATCAAACATACTCCTCTCGCTTGTACTGTGTTTCACTGTGGTGTCTTATGTGTTTTACCCACCGAGCATATCCCCCCACCTTGTCCTGTTTCACTGTGTTTTTTATTCATCAAACAAACACCCCTTACTTTTACTGTGTTTCACTGTGGTGTCCTGTGTGTTCTATTTATAAAACCACCTCCCCACCTGTCCTGTGTTTCACAGTGTTTTCCTGTGTTTTGTATCCATTGAGCATAGTCCCCCACTTGTACTGTGTTTCACTGTGGTGTCCTGTGTGTTTTATTTATAAAACCACCTCCCCCCACCTGTCCTGTGCTTCACTGTGGTGTCCTGTGTGTTTTATTCATTAAACCACCTCTCCACCTGTCCTGTGTTTCACTGTGGTGTCCTCTGTTTTTTATCTGTCGAGCATGGTCCCCCCACTTCTACTGTATTTCACTGTGGTGTCCTGTGTGTTTTATCCATTGAGCATACTCCCTCTACCTGGCCAGTGTTGGAGTTTGAGGGGCAGGGCCCAATAGGGGTAATGGGATGTTTTGTTTTAAATCCAATGCTCCTTCTGTTGAAATAAATGGATACTGCCCAAACTATTCTTGGTTGAAGGGGAATCAATTTTGAATAAAAGCCTGGATTCTGTCACAATTGGGTTTGAGACATGCTTTGGTTCAATCTTGTATGAACAGTGGGTTTCGGACTCCCTGGTTAGCAAGGGTGCAGCCCAATAGTGGAAATAGAGCAAATTCTTTAAAATCCTATGTTGGAACAATTCAATTTTGTCCAGATTTGATCTGAAGCATCTTTGAGTGAAGAGAACTAAGTTTTGTACATACAGTGCATCTAACCCGCATTGGAAGGAGGGACAGGGCCTACAAGGGGAAATAGATACAGGTGATTTAGATAATCCTTTAGTATGAATAAATCATTTTCAGCAAACTAAGTCAGGTGAGAAATACAGGCTCTATGGGCCTCTTATTTATTGTTTTCATAGGATTGTGAATTTTATTGAAAAGCTTATCAAAACATGCTTGCAAAGTCCTTCAATTTCACTTTCAGATATATTTATGACCTCTTGTCTTTAAATAACAATAGATTTATTGACCATGTCCATATACACTCACTGGAGGTGAAAATCAAAGACACAACAGTCTTTTACATCAGCTGGTTATCTTGATCTTTTCCTGCCATGAAAGCTACATGGACAGTTTTCACATGAAGCTGTATCATAAGCATGATGATTTCAGTTTCCATATTTTGAATTTTCGCTTTGTGGATGCCAACATCCTTGTGTCTCAAACTTATGGTGTTTACATATCAAAGTTGATTTGATATTCTAGAGCCTGTTATCAATATCACAAATTTCAAGCAATATGTTAACTGACAAACAAACTTGTAACACAGGATTTTAAAAGATGTAGGTTGATGAAAATAATGGGGAAATTTTACGGTTGTCATAGTGATATCATTGAGAAATATTCTATTTCTTTGTGCGATATGATGCTGGTGTAATGCTCATTAGTTTGTTTGTTCATTTGAAAACATGACAAAACTTAGATTGATCAATACATGCATGGTTAGTGTTGTCAATGAAGCAGAAGATGCTAAACTTCTGGAGCACCTGGAACTTCTAGTATTTTTTAGGAGTCTCCATGTGAATGATTCTTTTTTTTATGCTTTGTCCTGCATTTACAGGTTTTTTTTTGTGTTTTTCAGTTACCAACAATAGCTCTCCTTTTTCCTTCTTTTTTTCCCATCTTGCCCACTTTGTCTTATCTACCAAACATTCATCCTTATAAATCTGTCCTGTGTTTCTCTTTGGTGCCCAATGTTTTTTTTTAACAATTTGTCCATTCCTTTAACTGTCGTGTGTGGTTTATCTTTCAAACTTCCACTCATCACCTGTCATCTGCGTTTGTTTGAATGTTTTATTAGATTGTTTATACAAAGACAATTATTGGAATGTTTCCTTTGAAATCAAACTATGATCAGTAATTATATTAAAGGATAAAAGGAGAATTATTTAACAAGAACCAATTTTTTTTACAATGGGTATGAAACAAATAAGACATTCCAGCTAAGATGTTTAATGATTTATACCATCCAACCCCAGCAGTGCTCTGGTTATAATGACATTCTCTAGATCTTTGATGATGATAGGACAGATGATATGGTTGAGTATGTTTTAGGGAAGATATTTTGATTATCTTCAGATCCCACTGCATTTAATTGTGTAATCAGAGTTGAAAAATTGTTTAAAATAAAGTACGATTATTCTCAGAAATATAAGATTTTCACCTCAATTTATATAAATATATAGGAACACAAAAGACTTCAGTAGGAACTGCTTCTATGAGTGTTATCTCCCTTGGTCTACATCTGTATACATGTTTTGTCTCTATCATAAGTGAGCACATGACGTATTCTACTTTTTCTTTAAGATAATAACACATAACCGACTTAATATCTGTCTTTAACGATTAGTTAATTGTAACTCCAATTAAAACTCACATATCAATATTGTATCTCCGAAAACATTTTCTTGTCATTTCAGAGAACTGCGAGTACGAACCAGGAAAGATGGTGACCTATATGGTTTCAATTACATTATTAAAGGATTGATCAATACTACTAACCTGCAAGGGGGACTCAAGGTGATATAATATTTTCTCCATATTCAACCTGTTTGAGGGTCTGAAAGTTATACAATTGTTTCTTAATATTTAGTCTTTCTTGGTGGATGGGAGGTCAAATGATGATTGCAAAATAGCCAATCCATCTGGGAGAATCAAGGTAAAAAATGGTGTCTTTATCTCTAATCTGTTGAGGGGACTCCAGGCCATAGGTTATATACATTTTTCAAACTGTAACCTGTCTCGAGCACTCAAAGCAAAGCAATATTTGATCTATCTACAACCTATCTACAGAAGTCAGTGTCACAAAATAGTCTTGAAATCTCCAAGTAGCCCCGATCAGGAAGACATAAGGTTATACAGTAGTTTCTTAATCTCTTTGTATACCCAGTTGGAGAGACGTGAGGTCATACAATGGTCCTTCATCTCCTTCATGTATACTCTATCAAGGAGACTTGAGGATCTACAAAAAACAAATAAAAAGAAAAATAAACAATAGCATTTTAATCTCAAGCCTCTAAGGGTGACTTGATTTCATACAACAGTTTCTTATTCTCTACGTATACTCTGTCAGGGAGACACGAGGTCATAAAATATTTTTTTTAATATTTATGTATACAATGTACCTTGCCAAGGAGACTCAAGGTCATGCAATGTATTCTGAATCCCTAGTCATTCAGGAAGACTCGTGGTATTAAAATATAAAAAAAAAAGATACGCAATTAATTGTTAAATATCGTACAATATTTTCTGAACTTTTACCATGCCAAGGAGACATGGTTGTAATCCTAATCTCTATCCAACCAGGATAACTCATGGTACTACAATAGTTTCTCAACTAAGGTCATGTAATAAATTTGTAATCTCTACTCTGCCAGGGAGACTCGAGTCATACAAGAATTTTTAGGTCACCTGAGCTGAAGGCTACATTTCTCAGCCTTGATACATATATATTCCTGTCTCAGAAGTACCACAAGATTTTTTCACATTGTTTAATGTTAGTTTTTTTAGTTGGATGCCTTCTTGTATTAGACAAGGAAAAGATTGTGGATGGACTTAAAATTGATCTGATTTTTTGTATACTTTAGCTATACATGGATCTACTAAGCTATATCACAACTTGTAAATGAAAACATGATTTGCTTTATATAAATGTGCAACCCTGGCCTCTGTTTGGCTAAGACATTTTGGACTTCCTCTCAAGAACCAGTGGGTGGATCATGTTCAAACTTGGTACAGATGTTTTACACATGGTCCTGCACAAGTGTTGTTACATTTTAGCAACATTTTAAAATCCCCAGATTATTGACATATATTCCCCAAGGTGACCATTAAGGCCCCTTGGGCCTCTTGTTTGATATGAGGACAGCAACATTAGAAAATGGTTCACTTTAAACTTGTCTTCAGAACTTAATTAACTTAGTTTATCTTTGATCACAGCCTGTAATATATACTGTTAGGTTTTACATTGTTATGAGGGAAATAAAAATTAAATGTTTTTTGATTTACAGAAAGAAAAGAGATGTGCGTTCCTTCAAATTGATAAGGATTTAAGAAATGGATCTTTCAAGCTCTCAGACAATTAAGCAAGGAGCATGCTTTTATTGCATCTTACTGAGGAAGAGCATCCTAGTTCCACATAAAGTGCACAGCAGATTTTATTGTCACAGTTAAGCTTCCACTAGAACAGCCAGGGTAGAAAATGTCAGCATCCGCTGTACTTTTTGACAACCAGAATGGACAGCATGTTTAAACATTTTTGAATAATGGATGATAATATATTTGAAAAACTAGACTTTTTTTTTAAATGTTTAATTCTTTTGTCACTGTTTTTCTTAATGAGTCACAATTAGTGCTATTTTTTTCTCAAATGATTTGATATAATTAAAGTGCAATTCATCAACTGACCATCATACTAACATGTAACATTTATATTTAAAACTATGCATAAACCAACCTTATTTTACCTGTAACTTTCACACCTAAATCTTTACCTCTATATCTGTGGTGTCCTCCTACTTCTCTGGCTGGTCGGGCTCTACCTTTTCTTTATAGGGTAACTGCTGATTTGAATGATCTAGTAAATATTTGATGTGTTTTGTATATCATATGAAAATATGTTTATTTCTTATTGGTATTTTAAAGATTTGATGGTTTTGGCAAGCATTACTTACATTTACATAAAAGCACATTGTTGATGCGAAAATTTAACATGTTTTTAACCCTTCATCATAAAATGCTTGGCAGTTCAAATCTCCCAGTATGTCAATGAACTGTCTTTCTTCCAAGTGTTCATTTGAAAACATTACTAGTCATTGCTATTTCTTGAGAAATAATGGACTTATCATTTGCAAATTTCATATGAAGGTAACCCTTGTTCTCTTCTTGCCCACTTGATTTTGGTACTTATCAGATAAAGAAAATGGCCGATAAGTGGCCATCTTGAATTTTGAACATGAGTGATTTTTATAATTTCGTCAAAGAAGTATCAAATGGATCTTGCTCAAATTTCATATTTAGGTTCCACTTGGTCCTCACTAAGAATAAAATGACTGACAAGGTGGTCATCTTTGATTTTGACAATAAAAGTTTGCTTTCACTATTTCTTGAGAAATACTGGTTGGATCTTGCTCAAATTTCATATGTAGGTTCCCTTAGTCTCTATTTGTGCTCTTTTGATTTTTAGATTGATCAGAAAAATAAAATGGTCATCTTTTAAAATTTTAAATCATTATCACTATATCTGAAGAGGAATTTTCTTATGTTATTTACATGTAATCAAGAGCAAGAATACAGGAAAAATAGAAAAAAGCTGGAAAAGTGCCAAAATCCCTCTGGAATCTCATTTCGCATTTCTCTTTCCTTATTAGACACATCCTGTATAAAATAATGATTTAGGTTGTTTATGTTTAGTGAACATATGACTGCAGGTTATTTTAATTTTCAATCAAAATTCTCCATAGTCATTATGTATCTGATTTTTAGTGTATATCTGATGTTAGTTGTGTTGATAATGTAATCACATATTTGTAATAAAATACAATGATCTACTTCTTTGTTAGAGTTTTAAATTAGATACCTGATCTGCAGTCTACAATATCTGATACTTAAACATATATCACATGTGTTATAGCCTTGAACAAGCAGCCAGCATTTCAGGACTGTTAGGGATTTTGTTGTGTATCTTTCTCTCTGGTAGAAAGTGCTTAAAATTTTCAAGCAAGTATTACCTGGACTGAATGTTAATATCGGAATATTGTCAAACGCTGGAGTTTTAAAAAATGAAATATAGTGGCCTTGCTTCATGATGAATTAAAGGGCTACAAGTTTGTTAATCATCACTAACAGCTAGGATGATGGGTTACCAAGTTTGTTAATATGAATGGCCTTCATCACTACACAGGGTCAAATACCTGAAATGTTCAACACCGATCATCACTACACAGGGGCCCGTACCTCACTGGGTCAACACCGATCATCACTACACAGAGGTCCGTACCTCACTTGGTCAACACCGATCATCACTACACAGGGGCCCGTACCTCACTGGTCAACACCGATCATCACTACCTCACTGGGTCAACACCGATCATCACTACACAGAGGTCCGTACCTCACTGGTCAACACCGATCATCACTACACAGGGGCCCGTACCTCACTGGTCAACACCGATCATCACTACACAGGGGGTCCGTACCTCACTGGTCAACACCGATCATCACTACACAGGGGGTCCATACCTCACTGGTCAACACCGATCATCACTACACAGATACCTCACTGGTCTACACAGGGGCCCGTACCTCACTGGTCAACACCGATCATCACTACACAGGGGGTCCGCACCGCACTGGTCAACACCGATCATCACTACACGGGGGGTCCGCACCTCACTGGTTAACACCGATCATCACTACACGGGGGGTCCGTACCTCACTGGTCAACACCGATCATCACTACACAGGGGGTCCGTACCTCACTGGTCAACACCGATCATCACTACACAGGGGCCCGTACCTCACACTGGTCAACACCGATCATCACTACACAGGGGTCCGTACCTCACTGGTCAACACCGATCATCACTACACAGGGGGGGTCAACACCGATCATCCTACACTGGTCAACACCGATCATCACTACACAGGGGGTCCGTACCTCACTGGTCAACACCGATCATCACTACACAGGGGTCCGTACCTCACTGGTCAACACCGATCATCACTACACAGGGGTCCGTACCTCACTGGTCAACACCGATCATCACTACACAGGGGCCCGTACCTCACTGGTCAACACCGATCATCACTACACAGGGGGTCCGTACCTCACTGGTCAACACCGATCATCACTACACGGGGGGTCCGTACCTCACTGGTCAACACCGATCATCACTACACAGGGGGTCCGTACCTCACTGGTCAACACCGATCATCACTACACAGGGGCCCGTACCTCACTGGTCAACACCGATCATCACTACACAGGGGTCCGTACCTCACTGGTCAACACCGATCATCACTACACAGGGGGTCCGTACCTCACTGGTCAACACCGATCATCACTACACAGGGGCCCGTACCTCACTGGTCAACACCGATCATCACTACACAGGGGGTCCGTACCTCACTGGTCAACACCGATCATCACTACACGGGGGGTCCGTACCTCACTGATCAACACCGATCATCACTATATAGAGGTTCATACCTCACTGGATCAACACCGATCATCACTACACAGAGGTCCATACCTCACTGGTCAACACCGATCATCACTACACAGAGGTCCATACCTCACTGGTCAACACCGATCATCACTACACAGGGGCCCGTACCTCACTGGTCAACACCGATCATCACTACACAGGGGTCCGTACCTCACTGGTCAACACCGATCATCACTACACAGGGGCCCGTACCTCACTGGTCAACACCGATCATCACTACACAGGGGCCCGTACCTCACTGGTCAACACCGAACATCACTACACAGGGGCCCGTACCTCACTGGTCAACACCGATCATCACTACACGGAGGGTCCGTACCTCACTGATCAACACAGATCATCACTACACAGGGGTCCGTACCTCACTGGTCAACACCGATCATCACTACACAGGGGCCCGTACCTCACTGGTCAACACCGATCATCACTACACAGAGGTCCGTACCTCACTGGTCAACACCGATCATCACTACACAGGGGTCCGTACCTCACTGGTCAACACCGATCATCACTACACAGGGGTCCGTACCTCACTGGTCAACACCGATCATCACTACACAGGGGCCCGTACCTCACTGGTCAACACCGATCATCACTACACAGGGGCCCGTACCTCACTGGTCAACACCGATCATCACTACACAGGGGCCCGTACCTCTCTGGTCAACACCGATCATCACTACACAGGGGCCCGTACCTCACTGGTCAACACAGATCATCACTACACAGGGGGTCCGTACCTCACTGGTCAACACCGATCATCACTACACAGGGTCCACCGTACCTCACTGGTCAACACCGATCATCACTACACAGTACCTCACTGGTCCGTACCTCACTGGTCAACACCGATCATCACTACACGGGGGGTCCGTACCTCACTGATCAACACCGATCATCACTACACAGAGGTCCATACCTCACTGGTCAACACCGATCATCACTACACAGGGGGTCCATACCTCACTGGTCAACACCGATCATCACTACACAGAAGTCCGTACCTCACTGGATCAACACCGATCATCACTACACAGAGGTCCATACCTCACTGGGTCAACACCGATCATCACTACACAGGGGGTCCGTACCTCACTGGTCAACACCGATCATCACTACACAGGAGGTCCGTACCTCACTGGTCAACACCGATCATCACTACACACGGGTCCATACTTCACTGGGTCAACACCGATCATCACTACACTGGTCCGTACCTTACTGGGTCAACACCGATCATCGCTACACAGAAGTCCGTACCTCACTGGATCAACACCGATCATCACTACACAGAGTCCATACCTCACTGGGTCAACACCGATCATCACTACACAGAGGTCCGTACCTCACTGGTCAACACCGATCATCACTACACAGGGGCCCGTACCTCACTGGGTCAACACCGATCATCACTACACAGAGGTCCGTACCTCACTGAGTTACGAACTCCTCGGTACTCATGATAGGTGTTGAGTCAGTGAGTTACAACTCCTCTATGATGATAGGTGTTGAGTCAATGAGTCACTACTGATGATAGGTGTTGAGTCAGTGAGTTACGAACTCCTCGTTACTGATGAATGGTGTTGAGTCAGTGAGTTACGAACTCCTCGGTACTGATGATAGATGTTGAGTCAGTGAGTTACACACTCCTCAGTACTGATGATAGGTGTTGAGTCAGTGAGTTACACACTCCTCAGTTACACACTCCTCGGTACTTATGATAGATGTTGAGTCAGTGAGTTACACACTCCTCGGTACTGATGATAGGTGTTGAGTCAGTGAGTTACGAACTCCTCGGTACTGATGAGAGATGTTAAGTCAGTGAGTTACGAACTCCTCGGTAATTGATGATAGATGTTGAGTCAGTGAGTTACGAACTCCTCGGTACTGATGATAGGTGTTTTGAGTTACGACACTCCTCGTTAGTGATAGGTGTTGAGTTGAGTACTGATGATAGGTGTTGAGTCAGTGAGTTACGAACTCCTCGTTACTGATGAATGGTGTTGAGTCAGTGAGTTACGAACTCCTCGGTACTGATGATAGATGTTGAGTCAGTGAGTTACGAACTCCTCGGTACTGATGATAGATGTTGAGTCAGTGAGTTACGAACTCCTCGGTACTGATGATAGGTGTTGAGTCAGTGAGTTACGAACTCCTCGGTACTGATGATAGATGTTGAGTCAGTGTGTTGAGTCAGTGAGTTACGAACTCCTCGGTACTGATGATAGGTGTTGAGTCAGTGAGTTACGAACTCCTCGTTACTGATGATAGGTGTTGAGTCAGTGAGTTACGAACTCCTCGTTACTGATGATAGGTGTTGAGTCACTGAGTTACACACTCCTCAGTACTGATGATAGGTGTTGAGTCAGTGAGTTACGAACTCCTCGGTACTGATGATAGATGTTGAGTCAGTGAGATACACACTCCTCGGTACTTATGATAGATGTTGAGTCAGTGAGTTACGAACTCCTCGGTACTGATGATAGGTGTTGAGTCAGTGAGTTACGAACTCCTCGGTACTGATGATAGGTGTTGAGTCAGTGAGTTACGAACTCCTCGGTACTGATGATAGATGTTGAGTCAGTGAGTTACACACTCCTCAGTACTGATGATAGGTGTTGAGTCAGTGAGTTACACACTCCTCAGTACTGATGATAGGTGTTGAGTCAGTGAGTTACGAACTCCTCGGTACTGATGATAGATGTTGAGTCAGTGAGTTACGAACTCCTCGGTACTGATGATAGATGTTGAGTCAGTGAGTTACGAACTCCTCGGTACTGATGATAGATGTAGAGTCAGAGTTACAAACTCCTCGGTACTGATGATAGGTGTTGAGTCAGTGAGTTACGAACTCCTCGGTACTGATGATAGATGTTGAGTCAGTGAGTTACAACTCCTCGGTACTGATGATAGATGTTAGTCAGTGTTGAGATGATAGTGAGTACTGATGATAGAGTTACGAACTCCTCGTTACTGATGAGAGATGTTAAGTCAGTGAGTTACGAACTCCTCGGTAATTGATGATAGATGTTGAGTCAGTGAGTTACGAACTCCTCGGTAATTGATGATAGATGTTGAGTCAGTGAATTACGAACTCCTCGTTACTGATGATAGATGTTGAGTCAGTGAGTTACGAACTCCTCGGTACTGATGATAGGTGTTGAGTCAGTGATGAGTACTGATGATAGATGTTGAGTCAGTGAGTTACGAACTCCTCGGTACTGATGATAGATGTTGAGTCAGTGAGTTACGAACTCCTCGGTACTGATGATAGGTGTTGAGTCAGTGAGTTACGAACTCCTCGGTACTGATGATAGATG